CCCCAAAACCCCAAAACCCCAAAACCCCAGTGAGAGTTTATCAGATTGAATCTAAAATTAGTTCTCTACTTTTTGCTCTTCTGAAGATGGGCTTCAAGCGACTCTACCCAGTTGACTAAGCTCTGAGGGAGTCCTTTCGTCGCCATTTTGTGTTGCTCTTCAGTCAGATTTGCATCAATTTGATTGAAAATAATCACTTCTTTAACCTCTTTGGTGACATTGTCATAGCAGATTCTTTGTAGATTGAGGATAGTCCTTCCGGTTTCATATTTACCCTCTTCATCATCTTTGGCCCCTTCACAGCTAGATTTTCTCAAGCCTGGTCTGCTTTCATTATACTGGGGCAGTTTGCTAGCTAAGCTGTCTATTAGGCCCAGGTTAGACTTCAGAGATATTATGGGTACTTTTAGGTTAGTTGAGAAATAAAGATCAGAATTTAAGAACGCTTTGGAATTTTAATTGGGAAATAGAAGGGTAAAAAGCTCCCAGCACACTTTGAGTAATAAAAGCTTGGTGGATTTAGATGATGTTTTGTAGTTCTTACCTTCCTCATTTTTAATTTTCTTAAATTCCTCGATTCCTTCATCAGAAAGATGGCTTGTGTATAGATAAAAGTTATTCTATAGCTTAGAAGTCCTTACTTACATTTTCGCCTTCATTATGTTCAAACTCTAATCTTTTGTCAAAGAATTGCTTTGGCTTGATCTTGAACTCTGGTACTTTAAGTCCTGGGTACTTTTCCTTCAAACCTTTTAATTCTTGGTTGATGTCCTTCAATTTAGTATGAATTAAGCTCCATCCCTCACTATTTTTAAGCTTTATAATGCAGTTTTCATCAATTTTGGCATCCCATAGTGCTCTATCTTTCTGCATTGCGTTGAGATACTCCTCAAGAGTGAAGCTTGATCTAGGGATCCAATCTATTTTATAAATAGGGGCTTTCTCTGAGTAAGGATTTGCCTCGTTGATGAAAATATCAATGTCTTTTTCTCCAGTTTTTAAGAGAGTCCACCCTTTTCTGTGTTTGGCTGATTTGAGATCAAGATCATAGAATTTTTGCCATAGGTTATTAGCTGTCAACTCCCTCTTTTCTTTTGACGTTAGTATAGAATCAAGCAGATTTGAAGACTCTCCTTTTTGAGCATCACCATTTTTAACTTGATTTCCTTGAATAGTTGAACCGTTAGTTGATCTTCTATGCTTTGGAGACTATAATTAGGGATCAGCTGGGCCAATACTAAGGAAATTAGTTAAATATTGTAGTAGAATGTATGGTCCAATCGGGTTGATTTGTAAGAAATTATATTTAGGAGCTCTAAGTATCAAAATAGGAGTAGTTTGAATCAAAATATTCGAACTGATTACTCTTTGTTTTGAATGAGTTTTTGAGATTTTTTCAAAAAATTCTATGGCATAAATCCGAGATGTATTTCCTCTATTTTCATGACTATTTACCTCTTTCACTATATCTAATTTTCCAAGAGCCCAGCTTAATAAAAACTAATCAGTCAATATATCAACTTAACTAGACCGTGAAACTTAATTTTGTTGTCAGAGAAAATGTTCAAATTTTTATTTGAAATAAAAATCTAGATTATTTATCTATGATTGAATTTGAACTAAATCTTTCATTCACTATTGCCCAAAGGATGATGTAGTAGGAATGACTAAAGAAATATCATTCAAAGAAATAGGATTGGAGATATCACTTTGCTCTAAAGCCATACTTAGGATATATTTTATATATTTGTCAATCCTAGGTATTTGCAACAAGGTCATATTGCTCATAAAGATCATCAATAGTCTAAGAAGCTCTAGATAAACACAGACTAAGTTCTCATTCAAGTCAATGAAGCTTTAAATAAGTCTATTTTATAAACCACTCTTGAAAAACAATTTTATGACTCTTTAATCAGAGAATCTTTAGGTGCATTATTCGATAACTGGGAAGAAAAGATACTTGGTGCAAAGTAAAGCTAAATTTTTAAGATACTTACTCCCGATTTATTCTCTTTTTCTGGGATAATTTGTTCCCCTCTAGTAGAGGTTTTAAACTCTATACAATCTTTAGTTTGTGCTCATATAGATATCAGAAATTTAGAGGCAATAAACAAGATTATTATAAAAATAAGAAACTTCTCAGTTCGAAAGGAACACTGAGAATATGTTTCGATTTAATTTTAGTTTTGAAGGAAGTATAAAAGGTAACAGCATAATAAAATTATAGATTCAGGACTATATAGTAACGTTTCATCTAAATGTATTCTATGCGATTATTTTCAGTTATAAGATAAGAAAGCATACCTCCTATATTAACTCCCTCGATTGTTCTTTTAGCATATCAGCAGATATTGTTTCCCATAAGTATAAAATTAAATAATAAAGAGATTAAAAAGGGGTTTTGGGGTTTTGGGGTTTTGGGGTTTTGGGG